AGAAGAAGAAGAAGAAGAAGAAGAAGAAGAAGAAGAAGAAGAAGAAGAAGAAGAAGAAGAAGAATATAAAAAAAGATAAAGAAGAAGAACAACAAGAAGGACAAGACAAAGAAGAAGACAAAGAAGATAAAGAAGAAGATAAATAATAATAATATAAAGAAAAAGATAAAGAAGAAGATAAATAAAAATAATATAAAGAAGATAAATAATAATAATATAAAGAAAAAGATAAATAATAATAATATAAAGAGCCCTGAACAAGAAGATAAATAATAGTATAAAGAAGACAAATAATAATATAAAGAAGATAAAGAAGAAGATAAAGAAGATAAAGAAGAAGAAACATCAAGACGAAGGACATAAAGAAGAAGATAAAAAATAATAAAATAAACAAAAAGATAAAAGATAATAAAATAAACAAAAAGATAAAAAATAATAAAATAAAGAAGAAGAACGCGAAGAAGACAGCAGAAAAGAGTTAAATCAGAGAGAGATGCACCATTTGTCTCTGTTATTATCTTCTTTCTTTTATTTTTATTTGTTCATTTTGCTTCTTTAAATTATGTTTGCTGCTGCAGCAGCAACGCGTGAAGTAAAGACGACTAAGACAGGATCCATGTGGAGGAGCAGCAGCTACTTCTCTAGCAGCAGCTGCTGCTGCTGGTTGCTGCTGCTGCTGCTGCTGCTGCTGTTCTCCACCCGTGAAGAAGCAGCAGCAGCAGCAGCAACAGCTGCTACTGCTTCTGCTGCGCCGCCACCAACGACGACTGCTGCTGCAGCAACAACTGCAGCAGCAGCAAATACAGCAGCAGCAGCAGCAGCAGCAAGAGCAGTACCAGAATCAGCAGCAGCAGCAGCAGCACGTCCTGCAGCAGCAGCACCAGCAGCAAACTCATCTCCTGCAACAGCCCCAACAGCAGCAGCAGCAGCAGCAGCAGGAAGGCCAGCAGCAGCAGCTTATCCACTGCAAAAGCCAGCAGCAGCAGGAGCAGCAGCTCCGGCTCCACACAGAGCAGCAAACGCTGCAGCAGCAGCTGCACCGAGATCAGCAGCAGCAGCAGCACCGAGAGCAGCAGCAGCAGCAGTACCGGCACCAGCCGCAGCAGCAGCACCAGCAGCAGCAGCAGCACCAGCGCCGGCACTAGCAGCAGCAGCAGCAGCAGCACCTGCAGCAGCCAAAACACCTGTTGCAGGCGCAGCAGCAGCACCACAAGCAAAAGCAGCTGCAGCACCACAAGCAGGAGCAGCAATAGCAGCAGCAGCACCATCAGAGCCAAGAGCAGCAGCGGCGGCACCTGCTGCTGCTGCAGCAACACCTGCTGCTACTGTCGCAACACCTGCTGCTGCTGCAGCAACACCTGCTGCTGCTGCAGCAACACCTGCTGCTGCTGCAGCAACACCTGCTGCTGCAGGAGCAGCAGAGAGAGCACGGCCAGTTGCTTCTACAGAGAACGCCGCCGCAGCAGCTGCAGCACCACCAGCAGCGTTAGCAGCAGCACAAGCAGCAGCACAAGCTGCTGCTGCTGCAGCAAGAGCAGCAGCAGCAAGAGCGGCAGCAGCAGCAGCAGCAGCACGATCGACACCTGCAGCAGCGGTCCCAGCAGCAGCAGCAGCAGCAGCAACCAGAGCAGTCCCAGCGACTGCAGCGAGAGCAGCACCACACCCTGCTGCAGAGGCGCCGTCAGCAGCAAAAGCAGCAGCAGCAACAACAAATGCAGCAGCAACAACAAATGCAGCAGCAACAGCAACAAGAGCAGCAGCAGCACCTGCAGCAGTCCCAGCAACTGCAGCAGCAGCACCTGCAGCAGCAGCAACTGCAGCAGTAGCACAAACAGACCAGAGGGAAGCAGTAGCAGCACATGAGGCAGCATCAGCAGCAACAACAAAAGCAGCAGCAACAAGAACAAATGCAGAAGCAGCAACAGCAAATGCAGCAGCAGCAACAACAAATGCAGCAGCAAGTACAGCAGCAGCAGCAAAAAAAGCAGCAACAGCAGCAGCAACAGAAACAGCAGCAGCAGCACAAAGAGACACAGTAACAGCCAAAAGTGCAGCAGCGCCGCCAGCAACAGCACTTGCAGCAGCAGCACGTGCAGCAGCAACACCGGCAGGAGCAGCAGCAGCAAAACCTGCAGTAGCAGCACCTGCAGCAGCAGCGCCAGCAGCAGTAGCAACTACAGCAGCTGCACCAGCAGCGGCAGCAGCAGCACCAGCAGCAAGACAAGCAGACGCCACAGCAAAACAAGCAGCAAGAGAAGCAACAGCATCTGCACCGGCAGCACCTGCAGCAGCAGCAAAGGAAGCAGCAGCACGGCAAGCAGCAGCAGGTGAAGCAGCAGCTAACGTAGCAGCAGCAAGACAAGCAGCAGCCAGACAAGCCGCAGTGCCTGCAGCAGAAGCACCTGCAGCAGCAGTACCTGCAGCACCACAACAAGTAGAAGCGAACGAAGCAGCAGCGAAGGTAGCAGCAGCATCTGCAGCAGCAGCAAAAGCAGCAATTGCAACAGCAGCACCTGCAGCAGCAAGGCAAGGAACAGCAAACGAAGCAGCAGCACGGCAAGCAGCAGCACCTGCAGCAGCAGGGAGAGGAACCGCAGCAAGAGGAGCAGCAGCAAAGGAAGCAACAGCAAGACAAGCAACAGCGCCTGCAGCAGGAGCTGCTGCAGCAGAAGCACCTGCAGCAGCAGCAGCAGCAGCAGCAGCAGCAAGACGAGAAGCAGCACCTGCAGCAGCAAAGGGAGCAGCACCAGGCGCTGCAGCATCAAATGAAGCAGCAGCAGCCGCTGCTGCTGGAGTAGCAGAGCCGGCCGCAGCAACAGCCGAAGCAGCAACAAAACTGAGAGCAGCAGCAGCAAAGGAAGAACCGGCAGAAGAAGCAGCAGCAGCAGCAGCAGCAACGGGAGCAGCAGGGAGACAAGCAGCAGCAAGACAAGAAGCAGCAAACGCAGAAGAAGCAGCAAACGTAACAGCAGCAGCAAGACAAACAGTAGCAGCAGCAGGGCATCCAGCAGCAGCAGGAGCACAGCAGGCAGCAGCAACAGCAGAGCAGGCGAAGAAAGCAACAACAGCAGCAGCAAGAGCAGCAGCAACAACAGCAGTAGCTGGAGCAGCGGCAAAGGAAGCAAAAACAGCAGCAGCAGCACAACAAGCCGCAGCAACAGCAGCAGCAGAGAGAGTATCAGGTGAAGCAACAGCAAATCAAGCTGCCAGCCCAGCAGCAGCAAAGGCAGCAGCAGCAGAACAAGCAGCAACAAGACAAGCAGCAGCAGCAGCAGCAGCAGCGAGCCAAGCAGCACCTTCTGTTGGTGCCTTCACTTTTCGTGCGTCGGCTAATGAGCAAGCAGCAGCAGCAGCAGCAGCAGAACAAGCAGCAGCAGCAAAGGCAGCACCAGCAGCAGCAGAACAAGCAGCAGCAGCAAAGGCAGCAGCAGCAGCAGCAAAGGCAGCAGCAGCAGCAGCAAAGGCAGCACCAGCAGCAGCAGAACAAGCAGCAGCAGCAAAGGAAGCACCAGCAGCAGCAGAACAAGCAGCAGCAGCAGCAAAGGAAGCACCAGCAGCAGCAGAACAAGCAGTAGTAGCAAAGGAAGCACCAGCAGCAGCAGAACAAGCAGCAGCAGCAAAGGCAGCAGCAGCAGCTAAAGCAGCAGCAGGAGCACAAGCAGCAGCACCAGAACAGGCAGCAGCAGCAGCAAAAGCAGCAGCGGCAGCAGCAAGTGCAACAGCAGCAGCAGAAAAAGCAGCAGCAGCACAACAAGCAAGAGCCACAGAGGCAGCTGCAGACGAAGCAGCAGCAGCAGGAGGAGCCCGTGTTTCAGCAGCAGCAGCAGCAGCAAAGCAAGCAGCAGCAGGCCGATCACCAGCAGCAGCAACAGCACACCAGTCAGCAGACGGAGCAGCAGCATTCGTTACGTTTGCTGCTACCTCCCTTCGCCGTCTCTCAGCTAAAGAACAAGCAGCAACAGAAGCAGCAGCAGCAGCAGCAGCAACACCAGTGGCAGATCATGCCCCAGCAGCAGCTGCAGCAACAGAAGCAGCAGCAGCAGCAGCAGCAGCAGCAGGAGCACTGATTCCTTCTGCTGGTTCCTCTTTGATCCAGCTGTCAACTCAAGAAGAAACAGCAGCAGCAGCAGCAGCAGAAGACGCCACAGCAGCAGCAACACCAGCAGCAGCAGCTGCTGCAGCAGCAGGAGCTGCAACAGCAGCGGACGAGGAGAAATCCACAGAAGCAGCAACAGCAGCAGCTGCTGCAGCAGCAGGAGCAGTTGTTCCTGCTGATGCTCCCTCAGTACGGCGTCTATCAGCTCAAGAACAAGCAGAGGCAGCAGACAATAGCCCAGCAACAGCAACAGCAACAGCAGCAGCATCAGAAGCAGCAGCAGCATCAGAAGCAACAGCAGACGATGAATCCACATCAGCAACAGCAGCAGCAACAGAACCATCAACAGCAGCAGCAACAGCAGCATCAGCAGACGCTGAGTCTACAGCAGCAGCACCAGAAACAGGAGCAGGAGGACGAGCAGCAGCAGGAGCAGCAGGAGCAATTGTTGCTGCTGCTGCTGCTGCTGCTGCTGCCCCAGTGAGGCGTCTGAGTGGGGGCGAAGTCTGTAAGACAGTGCTAGTCCCTCAGCTATCGATTTGTAAGAAGAAAATAGCAGTAAAGGAAGCATACAGCTGCTTAAAGACAGTAGAAAAAGAAGTATGTGCTGCAGTTCCGGTGTATGTAGAGTCGACATGCACACGAGAGGTGGAGCAGCAGCAGCAGCAGCTATGCATGCAGCAGCAGCAGCAGCAGCAGTGCAGCAAAGTAATGTCTACCTGCCTCTCTGAAAGAGAAGTCATTGAGAGATATCCCTGCAGCAAGAGGGTGTGTAAGAAAGTGCGAGCTATGGAGGAGCAGCTGTGTAGCAGAAATATAACAGAGCTGCAGCAGCGGCCCTGCATGCAGCAGCAAACCCAAATAATATGTAGGGCTGTTACTGTTCCTGTTGCTGCTGTCTGTTATAGAGATGTTAAAAAGAAACAAAAGTATCCCTGTGAAAAAGATAAGATCCAAACAAAATGTAAGAAAGTTAAAGTACCTGTAGAGACACCGTGCATGCAGCAAATAAACGTGCTGCAGCAGCAGCCCTGTTTAAAGAAGAAAGAAATAAATAAATGTAGCATGCAGCAGGTTGCTGTTCCTGCTAAATGCATGCGACAGATAGAAAGAGAAGAAAAATATAAATGTAAGAAACCAACAACTATATTAAAATGCACAAACAAACAAAGACATCATCCTCATCCACAACATAAACAGCATCACGAAGAGCAGCTGCAGCTGCAGCAGCAGCAGCAGCTTCTGCTGCTGCAGCAGCAGCCGCAGCAGCAGCTACTCATGCCTTCTCCTCCTCTTCTTCCTGATGATCTTGAAGAAGAAGTCATAGACCAGCAAATACTTCAACAGCAACACCCGCATATGCAGCAGCAGCAAGAACAGCAGCAATACATGCAGCAAATGCAGCAAATGCAGCAGATGCAGCAGATGCAACAAATGCAGCAGATGCAGCAGCAGCAATTACCAGTAGCACAGGACCTGCTAGATCTAGAAGAAGACACCCTAGACGAAGACCCCCTTCAACTTGAGGGCCCCCTTCAAGGGGGCCCCCAAATGGGGGGGCCCCTCCAGGGGGCCCCTCAAATGGGGGGGCTCCTCCAGGGGGCCCCTCAAATGGGGGGGCCCCTCCAGGGGGCCCCTCAAATGGGAGGGGGCCTCCAGGGGGCCCCGCAAATGGGGGGGGCCCTTCAAGGGGCCACCCAAATGGGAGGGGGCCTCCAGGGGGCCCCCCAAATGGGGGGCCCCATTCAGGGGGCCCTTCAAATGGGGGGCTCCCTCCAAGGGGCCCCCCAAATGGGGGGGGGCCTTCAAGGGGCCCCCCAAATGGGTGGAGCTCTTCAAGGGGCCCCCCAAATGGGAGGGGCCCTTCAAATGGGAGGCCCCCTACAGGGGGCCCCTCAAATGGGTGGAGCCCTACAGGGGGCCCCTCAAATGGGGGGGGCCCTTCAAGGGGCCCCCCAAATGGGGGGGGGCCTTCAAGGAGCCCCTCAAATGGGGGGGAGCCCCCAAATGGGGGGCCCCATTCAGGGGGCCCTTCAAATGGGAGGCCCCCTACAGGGGGCCCCTCAAATGGGGGGGGCCCTACAGGGGGCCCCTCAAATGGGGGGGGCTCTTCAAGGGGCCCCTCAACTAAGGGGGCCCCTCCAGGGAGCCTCTCAAATGGGGGGATCCCTTCAGGGGGCCCCCCAAATGGGGGGCCCCCAAATGGGGGGCCCCTTTGAGGGGAACCCTGGGTATGAGGATGGGGCCATTGATGATTCCTACTTAGATGAGAGCGGCAACATGTTTGAAGAAGACGAATTTAATGAAGAGCGGTTTGGAGAGGGCCCAACGGGGGTGTGGGGTGGGGGAATAGGAGAAGGACAAGCAGCAGCAGCAGCAGCAGCAGGAGCAGGAGGAGTAGCAGCAGCAGCAGGAGCATCAGGAGCAGCAGCAGCAGCAGCAGCAGCAGCAGCAGCAGCAGCAGGAGCAGGAGATAGCTATTATAACTTAAACCTCAACGGGGGTTTGCTGCAGCAGCAACGAATGCTCGGTGTAAAGAAGAAGAAGAGAGGTAGGGAGGCCCCGCAGGAGAGCGGTGTTGTTGCGGTTGCTGTTGCTGCTGCTCCTGCTGCAGCAGCAGCAGCAGCATACACCAGCAGCAGCAGCAAAGAGGCACCTGAACGGGTATGCAAGCGGGTAAAGAAGATGGTGGAAGCAACATGCACAAGGACAGTAGCAGCAACAGAAGCATATCCCTGCATGCAGCAGCAGCAGCAGCCCCACTGCATAACAGTTGCTGTTGATGTTCCAGCTGTATGTACAGTAGAAGTGCAGCAGCAAGTTGCTGCTACATGCACTCAATATAAGCAGCAGAAGCAATGTAAGAAAATCAACGTGAAGGTTGCGGGTACTTGCGTACGAGAGGTGATGGTGCAAGAGGCATATGAATGCATGCAGCAGCAGCAGCAAGAAGAATGTAAGCCGCAGCAAGTGCAGCAGCAAGCAATCTGCAGCAGCCCTGTACAAAGAGAAGAAGTATATACATGTCAGAAGCCTGTTGTAAGAACTGTCTGTAAAGTAGTTAATAAAGAATGCAAGCGAAAAGTAATTAAACAAGTAGAGGAGCCCTGTGAAAGAGAGATATGCAAGCAAATACATAAGAATGTGCTTGTTCAATGCTTAAAACCTGTTATTACGAAGCAAAGTTATCCGTGTAAACAAACAGCGATGCAGCAGCAATGCAGCATGCAGCAGCAGCAGCAGCAAGCTGTATGCTACTCAACTAATTATATTTATAAAGAATATACCTGCGAAAGAAAAACTTATCAAACTGTATGTACACCCAAACAAATCATCATTCCTTACAAAGGTAAGCATACACCGCACTGCACTAAAGGCTGCAGATAATATTTATTAATATTTATTATTAATATTTATTATTATTATTATTATTATTATTAATTATTATTATTATTATTATTAATCACTATTATTAATTATTATTATTATTTATTATTATTATTATTATTATTATTATTATTATTATTATTATTATTATTATTATTTTGTTTATTTAGTAGTGTAATTATGTTATTACCAATTGCCTAATGTAATATCTTGCGTATATATATATATATATATTTTATGTATATATATATATATATAAATATATATATATATATATATATATATATATATATATATATATACA